AGTCACCCAGGTGCCCCAAGAATCTGCATTTTGACACTCAGGTGATGTGATACACACGGTTTCATGGGAAACACTTTTAGGGACTCAATTGTAGATGGTAAACCGTAAAGTCCAAAGTGCAGGAAACTTCTCTGTTACATTCACTAGGACATACTGAGCACCAAGTATAATACCTAAGATCTAAAATGCACTCAATTGCCAACTATACCTCAATTAAAATTTTTTAATAAAAATAAAATGCAGTTAATATCCTGAATAAATGGTATTCAACAATATATATGTCTTTATAAAACAGTTAATATCACAATACATTTAAGGTCTACCTACTAGTGATATGTCCAAGAAACAATAGGGTTTTTTTTCTTACCTGCAACTGCAAAAAAAGAGGGAACTGGCAATGCCTCAATGATTACAATGGAAATTTGGAATGCAATATTTCAGAAAACACACATATACACACAAACCAAGCTCAAAGCAACAGTTTAAAAGTAACTTTCCTTTGTTATATGTAACAAGATTAATAGGATAGGCTTAACACCAGCTGTAAATAGTTTTTTGCAAACATCATCATCATACCAAAGAAACCTAAACTCAAGGGATCTTTTGTTTATTAAGCATTTACAATGTTAAAATTGGTATGAAAAATAGTGAAAATAGTTTCAAGAATATCTGGGAATTTATATCCAATGTTTCTAAGGTAGTTTTTAGAATGGGAAAACAGAGAATCCCTCATAACAACTGAAGACTTTTTAATAAGCCCAGAATAACAATATGCCCTAAGAACTTGGGTCACCAAAAACCTGGTTTCTAAGCCTGGCTTTGCAACTGACTACCTGTGAGAGCCTACGCAAGTCACATGACTTCCCTGGTCTTAATTTCTTCTTCCACAAAATGAGGAGATTGGACAAGATAATTTTTCTGTGGGCCCTCCTTGAATTACAACACCCAGATGGAAAACAGAGCTATTGAAGAAAAAATAAATTAAGATCAGGCTCTGTTGCATCTCTGTCCCACATAAATATCAACTTCTTTCAATTTTTCCCATGTAGGAAAATGCTGGAGGGCATCTGGCTTCAGGAAGCATGGCTGACTGCTATGTCATCAATAGCTGAGAAAAACAGCTAGTGAAGGAGGAGGCTTTAAGAGAGAAAACCTTGAATCCGAAGGAAAAAAAAGAGACCTGACCTTGATTGGGCAATGAGGAATTGTAACACAAGAGAACTTAGCTGGAAGGCATAAACTAGGGCAGGAAAACAAAACCAAGGGCAGAGGAAGATGCTCTTAGAACACAGGATATGACAGCAAGCATAATCAGAAGGGGAAAGGGCAAAGAGCATACTTAATGGGGTTTTTTTGGTATCCTAAACTAAGGGGGGAAGTGGTAATATATGTAGCAGTCTGAGAGTAACGGAAGCTGAGACCCCAAAAACGGAAAGCAGAGTGCAGACTGTTTCTACCTTGCAAGGTCAAAAACAGCAGCTAAAGAGACCAGGGGAGCTTCTGGTTGCAAACCTGTAGATCCTTTAGCCACTAGAGCCTACTGGTTACTTTATACGATTTGAAAAAATCAGTCTCACCTTAAATTCCTGGTTTAAGCCCTTGATTCTCACAAGAGTCTGTACTGCAGGACAGACTCAGCACAGATCCATCACTGCCTTCTGTGGTTTGTACATTCTTTTTTTCTTGCCTGTCAGAGTGGCAATGCAAGCACTAAGCTCTAAGCTTGGAACATTCAGGCAAGGCACCCTTCTTCCCCTTCCATCCCTAATTTAACAACCTTTCAATCAAACCAGAGGCAAGGGAACAGGCAGGAGCCAAAAGGCTCTGTCTTGCTTATTCCTCAACATTCCCGCCCTCATCTCTTCAGCTGGCAGGAAGTATGAGCAGGAGTGTTCAGTAACAATTCAGGGCAGCCGCAGTTGCTAAGAGCCGTTTCTGGTCTCTCCTAGAACTCTGTGAAACAGCACAGTGAAACCTTCCAGAGAAAGGTGTGGTGGAGCCTAAGCAGGATCCCATGAAGGGAAATTCACATTCTTGGCCGATAGGAAATTCCCTCAGCCACGGCCCAAGATACTTAACTAGATGAGAAAGAAGGTCCTGAGGTGGATAATTTGAATACTCAAATCTCCCTCATTAGCTAGTGGTAGATATATGACAATTCTACCCTACACCACAAACTATTTTCTCCGGTTTCCAAGGTGGGGGTGGGGAGGGAAGGAAGGGGCAGGCGGACATGGTTAGGGGGGAGACATCCGTCAAGACACTTCCCCAAGTTTTATGAGTTTTCTTCATGACAGCTCCCAGCTCAGATTATACAGTTCCCAGATTATATCAAAACATCTGTTTTGCTGTTTTAGTTCTGTTGGTATCCCCACATAGAAGGAACATTCCAAACCAATTAAGGCATAGGCAAGCCCGTATCTCAGAGAGAAAATCTTAAAGTTTTCAAAGACTTAGCATATAAGCTATAATAGTAATCATCACTGAGCCCCTCTTATACTCTAAACCCTGGAGTCCATATTTCCCAAAAGCTGATCTGCTCTAAGATTCCTAGCCTTCTTTCCCCTTAAGTCTTCCCCTCCTCCCATTCTAGAAACACTCTCTCCCTGCACAGTGTTTTCATCTCCTAGCAACTTCCTAACATTTACTTAAATAATTATTTCAATGATCAAAGGCTTTATGGAAAAGCACCCCCAGAAACAGACTACTCAAAAAGGTTGAGGAAATAGGGAAAGGAACTGAGAAACTTGTTTTGGCTTACAGTAACATCAAACTGCAAAGCAACTTTCTGCTTCTAAAAGTATTTCCCAGCAATTTTCTTTCTTCCAAAAAGTGAAGAAATCTCTCCCCCCTTTCTCTCTCATTCCATTGCCCCACTGTCAGTCTCCTTGGGAGACAAGCTTATATATCACAGCTCCATTATGAAGGGGCAAAACTCCCTGGCACCAAGGTGTTTTCCCAGCTGAATATACTGGATCTTTCAGCCCAATTATAATCTGAAGGGCAGCCACCCAACTGGTCACTGGACCTCCAAGAGAAAACAAGTTCCATTTGCTACTCTATTGGAGACTATCATAGACATTTAGACTTAAATCCAACACGAAGCTCAGCATCGTTAATCCTTTCACCTGCAGATGACTTTTGGGCCTACAAAACTGGGACATGAAATTAAGAATTCTAAACAGAAAGGAGAGATTTCATGTTCCTTTCACTCTCCGAAGTGGCCACTTTTCGGGGTTCCTGGGTGACTCCATGGGTTGGGCAACTGCCTTCGGCTCAGGTCACTATCCCAGTGTCCTGGGATAGAGCCCCACATCGGGATCCCTGCTAGGCAGTAAGCCTGCTTCTCCCTCTGCCTGCCGCTCCCCCTGCCTGTGCATGCATGCGTGCACGCTCTCTCTGTCAAATAAATACACAAACAAACTAACCCTAAAAAGAAAGTGGCCACTTTTCAGCACAGGAATAACAGTGATTATGGGCATGGATATATGGCAAGAGTTTATTGCAGCCAGATGTAGGGAACAGTCTAATGGGCCTGGAACAGAAGCAAGAACTGGTACTCCTAGGCCTCTTTAAAACAGTATTATCCATCTGCACCCCAGAGAAAATGGTAAATCACAGCCAGCACAGGACAAGCCATGCCAGTAGCCAGCTGGAACTTGACGCTGCTGAGGTGGACTATAGCATCTGTCACCTAAACACAGGCAGCTTTTCTCTGGCAGCTGCCTCTGGTGAAAGGGAATGAACCATTGTGTTATTAGTGGAAGAAAATTCACAGCCCTGTTACCAGGGAAGCCCAGATGTTGCTAAGAGCTACAGATGTGCCGGAGGCAAAGACCAAAATACCTACAGCAAAGAAAGCACAAGCTACCACTGGAATCCAGGCACGGAGAGGGCACCACCACACAAACATACACACGCAGCCTCTATTTATTAACACTTACATATGGAAATAGGTATTCCCTGTTGCAGCTGATGTAATTACAGAGAAACCAATTTATACTGCATCTGCTGGGATCAGCTGAAAGCACAGGGTGAGCAAACACAGAGCGGAAAAATCAAGAGACAATGAAGAGCTCATCACCAGGCCAGCCGCTTGGCAGGAAATTGTAAGCTGCTGAAGTTTAAGGCAGCCTGAGCTGACCCTAGACTCACACGTACTCTGCTCCAGCTCTGCAAGCTCTATTTCCTGAGACATGAACTACTATCATCTTCCCAGAGGAGGAGAGCCCCTCCTGGGGCTGCTAGCACCTGTCCTTCCAACTCAAGCAGAAGGTAAGGTATCATTACGCTGTTTGGCAGCTATTAAACCACCAGGACACTTTGATTACCAATAGCTGAGGGAGATACTTGGCCAAAAACTATACCTTTAGTGGCCAAACAATCTCTTTCAAGGCCAAACATGCATAGCCACAATGCTAACTCGTAAGACCTGATTAAGTACCTCTTAGTACAGTCAGTACCTCTTGCTCCCTTCTTTACCTGCCCCTTCGCTCTTTGGTAGGTACCAAAAGAACACTTGGCAGATATCATTCCATGAGACTTATTTAACCATTTCTCTTCCAGAAACCCAGCAGCACCATTTATTCCATTAAGACGAGCACTCAACCGAAACCCTATCATCAACTTACAAAGTTTATCGATGACTCTGAGGATAAAATACAAGCAAGCTGGCAGCCACATAAAGGTTGATGCCCATGTCCAGCAACAAGTGTCTGAGGGTGGGACAAGGACAAGGTGGCAGGTTCTCCAACTTCATTCTACCAAGTAGCTGCCCCCAACAATAGATATTCTCCAAAATGCCCAGGCTGCTGTTAATGAATCTGTAGAGAATCCCCTAATTTGGAACAAAACCACATTATCATTACCAGCTGCTCTGACCTTGTAATTGGTCATTACCCACAAACTAATGAGCCTCCCACAGAGTGCACAAAGAATTTGGTGGTTAGTCCAGGGCAGTTCTGACTGGCAGTAGGCAGCCAGATCTGGCCACCTCTTACCTTTTCAGACTTGACTTTCTTTAGCGGGCGACACTCATTCTCCCCTTCCTCTGGCTCCGGTTTAGCTCCCAAAGGATTGAGCGCTGCCCCAGGCTCAATAGCTATACTCCCAAGTGGCTCCACAGCTCCTGTATCCACCCCTGCACTTCCATCATACTGACCAACCCGTCCTCCCAAGGGAACTGGCTGGAGGACCCCAGGATCCTTTTCTGAACAAGTCCCCACTCCTTCGCTTCTCTCCTTCTTGCTCTTAGATGAGCTGTTCTCCTTCTCCTTTTTGGAGCCGGCTACACTGCGGGATGCCTTAGCCGCCTTCTCTGAGCCCTTGGGAGCAATAGCAGCAACCAGGCTTCCTGCATTGGCACCATCTCCTGAGCGTCCCTGCACCTCTTTCTTGCTAGCTGCCCCCTCACTTGGAGTGAACAGGGAAGTCCCTGGAGTGGGTTTGCTAGTGTCTTTGCCACTCTTATTCCTTTTGGATTTTGATTTGCCTTCCTTCCCTTGAGGACCTGGCACTGGGGTCACAAACTTGATGTTGTCTGGTAGTGTGGCCACAGCATTGGGAGCCGGTATCCCCACCTCCTTTGAGCCTGACATTTCCAGTTTCTGCTGGTCCTTTTCCAGATCGGCGTCCAGGTCAATGATGAGATTCCCTACTCCAATGTCCCATTCATCCCCACTGTCGTATGTCTCAACCGGGTTTGCATCCACTCCTTTCCCTCCGGAGGCTCCACTGCTCAAGGACATCTTAGAGTCAACGTCCCACCTCAAGATTCAAGGCTCTTCCTTGCCCCCAGCTTTCCTATTTTCAGCTTCAGCTATGTTCTCAGACCTGCCACATTGGTCAGTACATGCCCAGTGGACAACATCATTGCTGGAAAAAGAAAATTTAAAGAGCTGTTAAAGGAAACAATACAGGCAAGGAGACAGCCTGAAATAAACTCCCACACAAAACAGACTATTCCTAGGGGGCTATCACATCACAATGGACAAGACAAACAGGTTCAATTGTATTTCTAACCAAGTCACATTGGACCAGGGAAAAGTTAATTCCCGCTCCATCTCCCCAGGGGAGAGTACAGTATTTCCAATTGCCCGGAGAGTCTGTATAAGTCTTAACTACGGGTCCTCTAAAGTTAGTTTCCCATTCCCCAGAGACTAATTCTACTACCACCGCCAGCTGGCAATCCTCCCTCAATCAATACAGGCCCTGGCACATAACAGATTCAAGCTCTAGCACAACTGTACTCATATCCCCTTCCTCCTTGCTTCTTCTTGAATTATCAGAGACCAGAACACGGACTTGCAAAGGCTGTAAAAGCCCTCTATTAACAGAGTCTGTCCCTACTAAAAATAATGAGGATTCCTTGTCATTCTACTGTTTTGGGGGGAAAAAATCTTATTATGGATAAGAGTGAAAGAGAAAAAGCAAGCAGAACTAGAAAAAAATGTAACATTAGGATAGAGGCCAAATATTGCAACTAAAGGAGGCAATCATCAGAGAAGACTCAACTACTCAGCTTAATTTCAGTTAAACAAGCCTTATTCAACTCAAGGTTTCAAATTATGTCCAAACAGCATAATGCACTGTAGCCTTTCCCATGTCCCCCTAAAATATCTACAAAGACAAACACACACATAAACACACACACAAAAATTGTACCCTGACTAAACACTACTAAAACCCCTAACAGCGGAGTGTGAAATAACTCTTCACACTTTTATATAAGATTGGTGGCACGGTGGGGCACCTGGATGGCTCAGCCATTAAGCGACTTTGGCTCAGGTCATGATCCAGGGTCCTGGAATCAAGCCCCGCATCAGGCTCCCTGCTCGGCGGGAAGCCTGCTTCTCCCTCTCCCACTCCCCCTGCTTGTGTTCCCTCTCTTGCAGTCTCTCTCTCTGTCAAATAAATAAGTAAAATCTTAAAAAAAAAAAAAAAAAAAAAGATTGTGGGCATGGTATTGATAAATACCAAGGTCTCACCACATGAAACAGATTGGCTAAAAAAGAGCGGGAACAGAACCATTTGTAACACTCCAGTCTCCTAGCTCATGAGACCTAGAGAGTGTATCATCTAGAAAACCTGGCAGTCAAGAAAAACCATCCAGATATTACTTTATGACAAAGTGAAAGAGTTCTGTTCTTGCTCACTCCCCTGTCCACCATCTTCCTATATCTATTTAGAAAAGAATGCTCATAAGATAAGAGAGCAAAGAGCAAACCAGTAGTGGCACAATGAATCCTACAAAGTGGATTTCCAATAGTAAATGCTACAGATAGGACAGAGACATGACAAATTCTAATTTTTCACCTACTCTCTCAAGACAGTGTCAAAGAACCAGGGTGCAGTTATAAGAGAAGATATCAGAGCTCCTGGGTGGCTCAGTTGGTTAAGCGACTCTCTTTGGCTCAGGTCATGATCCCAGAGTCCTGGATCAAGTCCTGCACCGGGCTCCCCACTCAGTGGGGAATCTGCTTCTCCCTTTCACTCTAATGTTCTGCCCACCTGTGCTCTCTCACTGTCAAATAAATAAATATTAAAAAACAAAACAAAACTAACAAACAAAAACAAAAGAAGATATCATCCCAAGACAGCAGAGCTGTCCCAAGTGAATGCTTGCTAGTAACTGGGATTTAAGAGAGAAAGGTGTGCATGTTAATTTGCCATTTAGCTGTAGATCTGAGGAAAAAAATACATCCTTTACACAAGTAGAGAGCTTAGTACCATTAGGAGCAACTATTGCTGGCATTGAGTCTACAGAGATCCTACTTCATGAAAAGAAGAGCAAATCTGTCGGGGGGTGGGGCGGGGGCAGCATGATGTAGGAACGATGAAAAAATGCCACCCATAAGGTAAAGGAAACATTATCCCTGAAGTCAGAGAAATGATACCTCTGAAAATATCTAGAATTTTATTTTATTTATTTTTTTAAAGATTTATTTTACTTATTTGAAAGAGACGGACCCCCTCAAAAGAAAGAAAGAAAGAAAGAAAGAAAAAGACAGACAGAGAGAGCATGAGTGGGGGGAGTGGGGGAGAAGCCGACTCCCTGCTAAGCAGGGAACCTGACATAGGGCCCGATCCCAGGACGCTGGGATCACAATCTGAGCTGAAGGCAGATGCTTAACTGACTGAGCTACCCAAGTGCCCCCAAATATCTGGAATTTTAAAGAAATTTTTGTTGAAATGTTTGGAATTCTCAATACCACCTAAGAAGACTTGGCTTCCAGTAAATATTAGTATAGCACACCTTTGTTCATTCATTTAAAAAAACCTGTATTTATTACCTACTAGTGCTAGGCTCTAAACTAGGTGCTAGGAATACAGCAGTGAATAAGTGAGTAAGGCAGTGGAAAATGGTACTGGAAATAATTCTATTATGAAGGACAACGAGTATTTCTAGAAAAGGGAATGCCAACTGAATCTGCACTATAGTGCAACATTAAAGCATAGTTCTTTCCAACATCATAATTTATTACCACTGCAATCTTTGCAACTGTGGCAAGGCTTAGAAGATAACACATTCACATTCACCTAAAACTCAGCCACTTTCCTTCCAAGCTGCCCTATCATCAGTATGTAATTTAACCATTAAAATAACCCTATGTTCGGGGCGCCTGGGTGGCTCAGTGGGTTAAGGCCTCTGCCTTCGGCTCGGGTCAGGATCCTGGGGTCCTGGGATCGAACCCCGCATCGGGCTCTCTGCTCAGCAGGGAGCCTGCTTTCCCCCTTCTCTCTGCCTGCCTCTCTGCCTACTTGTAATCTCTGTCTGTCAAATAAATTAAAAAAATAAAAATAAAAAAATAACCCTATGTTCGTTTAACCTCGGAAAAACAAAACTTGCAAGATTTTCCTCTAAAAAAAAAAACCAATGAACACAACCTTCCTCTAGAAAACAAGACTATGATGGAACACAGACTATTGGGGAAAGAATATAAAGTACATAAAAATGATAGTACTCAGAGAGCTTATGACAGTTCTCACTTTACTGTACTGGATGACCTGTCATATGGAGTAAGATAAATGAAGCATGCCAGTAAGGAAAAGACAGCATTAAGAAGAAAACAGGCAGAAATGAAAGGATATGAACTTAAGACAAAAGGATATGAGGATATGACTTTTTTTTTTTAAAGATTTTATTTATTTATTTGAAAGAAAGAGATCACAAGTAGGCAGAGAGGCAGGCAGAGAGAGAGAGAGAGAGGAGGAAGCAAGCTCCCTGCTGAGCAGCGAGCCCCAAGCAGGACTCAATCCCAGGACCCTGAGATCATGACCTGAGCCGAAGGCAGAGGCTTAACCCACTGAGCCACCCAGGTGCCCGAGGATATGACATTTTTTAAAAAAGGAAGAAGGAAACAAAAAATGCACTACCTATTAAAATTCACAGAAATATCAAGAAAGCACAGAACTGAAACTGTGGGAAACGATTTAGTAAACTATAAGAAAACTTGAGATATTTTCCTAGAACATGAAGAAAAGGATAGCAAAAAGAAAATGAGAGAAAATTTGAGAGATATATCATTTAATAGCAGTGAAAAGAAAACTGAGGAAACTAAAACAAATGGGAGGTAAGCAACCCATTAAGACATAATAAATGAATAGTATCTTTATCTGAAAAAGATCCTGCATGCAGAATGAAAAGGATTACTACTCTTTCAGCAAAATCCATTTTTTAAAAAAGATTTTATTTATTTATTTGAAATAGAGAGATATCCCAAGTAGGCAGAGAGGCAGGCAGAGAGAGGGGAAGGGAAGCACGCTCCCCAGTGACCAGAGAACCTGATTCGGGACTCAATCCCAAGACCCTGGAATCATGCCTGAGCTGAAGGCAGAGGCTTTAACCCACTGAGCCACCCAGGTGCCCCAGCAAAATCAATTTAAAAAACCAAACTTACACACATTCTGGCAAAATTCTCTAATTATAAGGACAAAAATTGGGCCAACCTCAGGCTGCTCTACAATAGTAAATGTTAAAAAAGAATGAAAAACCTACAGAATTTGAAGAAAAAAGTTGTTAGTCAAGTCTTACACAAAGTCAAGTTGTTTGTCATGTATAAAAGTAATAGGGGCACCTGGGTAGCTCAGTCAGTTGGTCGACCAGCTCTTGGTTTTGGCCCCAGTCATAACCTCAGGGTTGTGGAATGGAGCCTGTGTCAGGTGCTCAGTATAGTCTGTTTGTCCCTCTCCCTCTGCTCCTCCCCTGGTCCCCTGCTCTTGTGCGTGCTCTCTTTCTCTCTCTCTCAAATAAATACTTAAAAAAAAGGGTAACAGATTTTCAGTTATGTAAAACACGTATATATCCGTCTTGTTAAAAAACTATCTAAAGCCCTAAAATCATTTCAGTAGCATGAATGTTAATAATCCTTGTAAACACAAATACCAACTGAATTTTGTAATCTAAAGAGTAAACTGGATGAAGATATTAAAAATTATTCCTGAAAAAATCTGAGATAAAATCAATGCCTATAATAATGCAGAACCCAAAGTTCAGCCTTAACACTAGCAAGAAAAGACACTTCCTCAAATTCCTCTTGTCCCAATTCTGTATGTCCTGGCAAATTGTTTTGTTTTTTTCCTAGTAAACAAGATATACTGCCATTATTACTATTTTTTTAATGTGATTCTTCTCAAAGGGGAGCTGGAGATGAAAATTTGAACATCTGGTAGTCTGTGCTCATTTCCAGGTTCTACATTTTAAGTGATATTCATTAAACAGAAAGAGGTCCAAAAGAGTATACTGAAAGATCAAAAAGCCGTTTTTCGTAAGAGCAAAAGTCTTACAAATACAAAGATTAAGATATTCCTTAGTTTGGAAAGGAGAATACCAAAGGGAGACAGGTTGGTGAGCTTCAAATATCTGGTTGAAATGT